TAGCCTCTCCATTGAAGTTTATTGAACCAAAATGCAATGTTTTGCATTCCAAAAATTGCACTGGGTGAAAAAACGTGGAGATGTGAACGTGTCCCATGGGAAATAATGTTAAATGGACTGTAGTGTGTTTCTGCAAAATGCATCGCAAAACGCTTAGGTGTGAACCTAGCCTAAATCCTTAAGGCTGTCACCTGGCAACTCAAAGTTTCAGCTCCCTCCATAAATTTTCTATAGAATTAAGGTCTGGAGATTGGCTAAGCCACTCCCTGACCTTAAAGTGGTAATAAACCTACTTTGTTAATTTTTACCTATAGGTAAGATTTATTATAAGCTTACCTGAAGGTAAAAATTAATACTGTTGAGGAAATACTGTTTTTTTGTTTTTTTTAGCTGGCACGTGCTCTAAAGGACCGTTATACCTGTGCCATTCCTGCAGAGCACTGTGCCGTTGCCCGTGACTCCCGTGCAGGACCGACTCACCGCGGCTCAGCCAGTCAGGTGGCCGGAGCTCACGAACCCGGAAGAAAGACCGGGTGGAGATGGAAGTCTTTACAGCAGTGACAGCACACCGCTGGAGGGCTTAGTTTTACATAATGTGCTAGTATGCCATTGCTTTGCAGTGAATGTTTTTGGTTTTTTATTTAATGCTGTTTACTACTGCTTTAATGTGCTTTTTGAGCCACATCCTTGGCAGTATGTTTTGGGTCATTGTTATGCTGAAAGACCCATCTTCAGTGTTCTGGCTAAGGGAATGCCCCTCAATGTGACAAATTCGACCTGTACCTTTAGCAGAGAAACAGCTCCAAAGCATAATGTTTCCCCCTCCGTACTTGACTGTAGGGATGGTGTTCTTAGGGTCATAGTTAGCATTTTTCTTCCTCCAAACACAGAGTTTGAGTTATTGTCAAAGAGGTCAATTTTGGTCTCATCTGACTATAGCACGTTCTCCTAATCATTCTCTGAATCATTTAGCTGTTCATTGGCAAACTTCAGACGGGCCTGTACATGTGCCTTCTTGAAGGGGACCTTGTAAGCGCTCCAGGATTTCAATTCGTGATGGCGTATTAAGTTACCAGTGGTTTGTATGGGGACAGTGGTCACTACTGTCTTGAGATCATTCACAAGCTCCTCCCGTGTAGTTCTGGGCTGATCTCTCACTTTTTTCATGATCATCCTTACCCCGTGAGCTCCAGACCGAGGGCGACTGATGGTTATTTTGTATTTCTTCCATTTGTGAATAATCGCTCCAACAGTTGTCTCCTTTACACCAAGCTTCTTGCTGATGGTCTTGTAGCCCATTCCAGCCTTGTGCAGGTCTACAGTCTTGTCCCTGACGTCCTTTCACAGCTCTTTGGTCTTGCCCATGGTGGTGAGGTTTGAATAGAAGAAAGATTCTGTGGACAGGTGTCTTTTTATACACATAAGTTGTTAAGAGCACTTTCTTAAATTGACAGGACTAATCTGTGTACCACATGAGCACATATCCAGTCTGTGGGAGCCAGAATTATTGTTGGTTGGTAAACAAATACTTATTTTACTCACTGAAGTGCAACTCAATTTATAACATTTGTATCGTGTTTTTTCTGGATTTTTGATTTTCTGTCTCTATCATTTAAAATACACCTGTGATAAAACTTTAGACCCTTTGTTTGTAAATGGGCAAACGTACAAAATCTGCAGGGGATCAAATAATTATTTTCACCACTGTAAATGTACGTCGGCAGTTTCAAGTGGTATACCAGGGTTGATTCCTGCAGCTACAGTCATCATCCTGATATTGTTTTTTTTTTTCAGGAGGTGATCAGCTTTTTTGTAAAAGCCATTCTAGTGGCTAATTTGCCACTGGATTGCTTTAACAGGTGGAGGAGGGGGGGGGGGGGGTTCTCAGAGGGACTGTCCACTGGCTCAGTAAAGAGTACCTGTCACTGCTTATTTTTTTATCACAAGCAAGGTTTACTTTCCTTGTGATAACAATAAAAGTGATTAAAATAAAAGTGTAGAATAAATAAAAAAATCATAAGATTAAAGAAAGTTTTAAAGCACCCAGTCCCACTATGGTCACCTATGGAGGAGTCTCAGATCCTGGGTTCTCCCACTATAGCCATTTCTGGTGTAATTAAATGTGCATGAAATGAGGTCTTTGCAAGTGAAACATGCACTTTTTTTCAGTTTTTCTGCACATATGGTGTGAAAGAGGCCCAAGGCCTCGTTCACATGATACTTCCATAAAAACTAGGGATGCACTGAAATATCGGTGGCCAAAAGGATTAGTCCGAAAAACACTCCTATCAGCATTTGGCGGATATTATTATTATACAGGACTTATATAGCGCCAACAGATATGAAAATAAGCTCCGATACAGGTGCCGAAAATAACCACACCCCTCGCCGATTGGTGGTTCTCAGCCCTACCTGAGAAACCGCCAAACGATCCCTGGGCATAGAGATAAGTGAAGGAAAGATGGCCTCCACTCATCTCTATGCACTTGGAGGACCGGAGCGACATATCTTCCAGTTACGGCACCTTGTAAACATGGCCTTTTTTTCTTTTTTTTTTTAAAGCACTAGATCAATGCTTTTTTGATCTAATGCTTTACATTGTAGAGGAGAAATGTGGAGTCTTATTAACCCCAGATCTCTCCATTCTGGCATAGTGTGTGTATTGATGCGAACAGCCCGGTGTGAGAGCAAGCCCTCAGGATGCCTCCTTAGCATCTGACTTGCTAAGGGGGTATCCAGAGCAAGCAGGCAGGAGACCGCTCTGTGCAATATCACTGCATAAAGCAGGTTTGTTTAAAGAGGAGTTCCAGCCCCCTCCCAAAAATTAAAATCAGCAGCATACAAATACTTTAGCTGCTGACTTTGATATTAGGGCACATACCTGCTCAAGGATCCAGCAGTGTCCTCACCCCAAGACGATTCTTCAATTGGCTATCGGGTGACAGGGCTGCCATCCTGACTAAGATGCCTTGGGGCTTACAGCTGGTTTCCTACTGCACATGTGGGCCACAGTCCTCTGGGACCTGTGAAATGTCCCATAGGGCAGTGTGGGGGGGGGGGGTTGTGGAGCCGAACTGTCAAAACCAGGTACCTGCTCCCCTCTCCCCCCAAAATGTGACAAATGTGGCAGCGGAGGGGGGCAGATAAGAGGAGCTTCCACTTCTGGGTGGAATTCTGTTTTAACATATTTTTTATTTTAAACAAAAAAAAAAACCCATATCCTTTAGTATATGCATGAAGGTAAAAAAAACCTGTGTAGAAGCCCCCACTTACCTAAGCCCTATCCTGATCCAGCAATGTCCATGAGAGCCTTGGTTCTCCAGGGACTCTCACTCCTGAGTGGCTGAAACAGCAGCAGGAGCCATTGACTCCCACCGCTGTCAATCACAGCCACTGGCCAATCAGGAGAGGATGGGGCTGAGCCGCAGCTGTTTGTGTGTGAATGGACACGCAGAACCGCGGCTCAGGGAGCCCCCATAGCAAGCTGCTTGCTATGAAGGCACCCAACAGGAGGAAGGGGCCATGAACGCACGTGGTGGACCCGAAAAGAGGAGGATCCGGGCTGCTCTGTGCAAAACCACCACAAAACAGGTAAGTATAGACATGTTTGTTTATACAAAAATATATATATAATAAATATTAAAAAAAAAGATTTTAGCATCAGTTTAACAAACCACAAAGGGGAGACTTGACAGCATCTTGGACAGACAACAGGTCAACATCAACAACACATGGCTCATTGCCAAAACACACAAGAAGGGAAAGCATGACAATCAGAATGAAGTATAAAGCATCCAGACAAGTGGGTGTCCCCAGAGGAAACATTCCCATATAAGGAGATCCCAGGAAGAAGCTGGAGAGAACAAAAGCAGCCCCCCCCCATGCGATGAGCCCACTGTACACACAGAGCCGGGGCGGGGGATATGCGACTCCCATACACTCACCATGTCATATACATTAAGAATGACAGGCTGGTTGGCCATCTCTCCTCATGTAACCTCCGGAGCGCTCCCCTCCCGCTGTCCCCCACACCGAGGGCAGCTCAGCGCCTGAAGCGGACGTCCTTCTGTGCCTCGTCCCGGGGATGTGGTGCCTGCCGGTCACAGCTGTGCTCTTGTCAGTAAAGGGCGGCAGACTGGGTGGCCGGTCATGACAGGGCGCTGAGGAGACAGGCTGTGTACAGAGTGAGCTCACACGGGTCTATGTCACAATATCAGGGTAGGCCTTGTGAAGATGAATAAAAAGCCACATCCTCTCCCCGGCTTCCAGTCAGCCTCCCGTTATAGTAACATGACTGGGATTAAACAATGACTACGTCAAGCTACTTCCGGTCCTGCAAGTCATGTGACCGTCGCCCTGGGCAGGTCGGAAGCGTGCAAAGAAAGAGCATGCGCATTGTGGTTGTTGGCCTACGGCGTAGGAAATGGTTGCATGCTGTAGTTCCAAAAGTATGGCTCAGTGACATATATTCATGCACGGGGTTTAAGCCTTTCCTCCTCTTTATCAAAATTAAAAAAAAATACTACAGTCAGCCTGTTTATGTGGACGACTTACTTTTGTATGTAGCGAATCCATTGGTTTCCTTACCAAATATAATGTCTGAAATACAAGCCTATAGTGATATCTCCGCTTTTAAGATTAAAGCAGAGTTCCACTCACGGAGTTAAACTGTAGCTGCTGACTTTTAAGAAACAGCCGCTTACCTGTCCCTCGGTCCCACGGTGTGTCCCCCGCAGCCCGTTTCACTGGCCGTCCTGTATTCCAGGAGAATACAGGACTGGCTGTCCTGTATACCAGATTTACGACATCTTCATTGTGGGCACCCGGCTGTGATAGCTTGCGGGTTCACAGCCGAGTACCCACTGCGCATGCGCGAGTAGCGCTGCACTTCATGAATGGTCCTGTAGTCTTCTGGGACTTGTCACGTGTCCCAAAAGACTACAGGGAAGGAGGGAGGACACCTTCCGCTTCCGATTGCCCAGGCGATCAGAACGGAAGTGGGAGCGGGTACCTGTCAAATTCAGGTACCCGCCCCCCAAAGGTGTCAATCCTTAATGAGGAGCAAGAGAGCAGTCCTTAAAGCGGAACTTCCCCTTTTGGGTGGAGCTCCGCTTTAACTTACAAAAATTGGAAGCCCTCAATGTATCCCTCACCCTTCGCTCCTTTGCACATCTCAGTAGCAACTTCCCTTTCTGTTGGGTCCCCCGTTACATCCAATAATTGGATACCAACATCCCTTCCAACCTTCAGCGGATCTTTCAATACAACTTTCAACCATTGTTGAGCGCTTTCTCTGTGGACTTGTAGAGGGCTCTGGACATTTCTTGGTGTGGAAGATACATTGTTCTTAAGATGAACATCATGCCGTGTCTCCTTTATCTTTTGCAAGCATTGCCCATTAGGATTCCACAGTGATACGTTCGTAAGCTTCGTTCACTATTCATTCTATGTCTGGCAAGGTAAACCTCATCTGAAATGATCCCTCCTTTTACGACCAAAGCTCAGAGGAGGGGTTGGCCTCCCCGATCCTGCCATGTACTGTACAGCAGTCCACATGGCTAGAGTAATTGACTGGTGTAGACACTCCTCTCACAAGCACTGGGTTTCTCTTGAACAGGATTCAGTATTTTCTCACATGTTGACCTTCCATGGGTTGGAGTCCCTTTCTGCAGATATTCTTCTTCACACCCATTAATCAAATCCACTGTACTGGAACTCTGGAGATATTACAGGATGGCTGAGATATCCAGTTTCCCATCTCCATTGACACCTATTATTGGCCACCCAAATTTAGTCCCAGGTCTCTTTGGCAGGGCCTTCCAACTACAGCCGGACCTAAGGCTGGTCAGGTCCTCCACTTTTCTTGGTTCTTCAGGATTGGTTCACTCTTCAGTCATATTAATACCCTCTGCTCATCTGCCCTGGGTAGATGGAAAAGCCTGCAACTGTCCCACTTTCTGCGGTATCTCCCAAACCATGCCCGTTTTAGCAGAAAACCCCTCTTCTTTTGAGGACTTATGTCTAGGACAGGGACCCTTGATAAAAGCTCTTTCCATATCCCATGGTATTCTACTTGCAACTATATCTTAACATGATCCTCCTTATTTATGCAAATGGCAGAGAGATCTTAACACCACGTTCTCGGAAGACCAAAAGTCCTGGATACTTCTATTTGCTCACAAGTCCTCCCTCTGCAGTAAATACCAGCAAAACACCTACAAAATCTTGACGCATTGTTATCAGACTCCAACAGTACTAGTGTCCATATTTCCTGGACATAGTCCGTTATGCTGGCGATGCGGTCCTCAGGAAGGCACTCTACTTTTTTTTTTTTAATTTAAATATTTTATTATACATTTTTTTAAATTACCTATTTATACATACAAACATTGATATGACAGTCAGGATATAAAATTTGAATTTACCTAACGTAATATCAAAAATATTAACTTTCATCTTAATATCCTATTCCCCCACCTATCCCCCTCCTCCCAATGTACAACATACTTCCCCTCCCATCCCTGACAGCCTAGACTTTGCAATGTTCTACTCGTTCTAGTTCTAGAGATCCTAATCCGGGAGTATTACCACCTTACTGCTTCCTTTTTCACTGATGATTTCTGAACTCTTCTAGCTATATTCAAGATATAAATCTGATTTTTTAAAATTCTTCCCATTTCCTCCACCTTCACCTCCATCTTGTCCTTGTCCATTTGATAAAGTTCCTCCAATCTATATACCTGTTCCACCTTACCTACCCAATCCTTTATTTTTGGTGCTTCTTGTTCCTTCCAAAACTTGGGTATCATTCCCTTCGCTGCATTCAAATAATACATTAAACCTGAGTTTTTATATTCTTTCACTGAAAGTTTAATACCATAAAAGACAACAGTCTCTGGGTCCTTTGGGATATTAACCTCCGTTATTTCTTGAATTAAGCGGACTATACCCCCCTAATATTCTTGTATTTTATCACACTCCCACCAAATGTGAAACACAGTGCCTCTACCTCCACATCCACACCAACACAGGTGAATTATCTCCCCTTATTCTATGTGCTACACTCGGTGTAATATACCATCTTGTTATACATTTATAATTCATTTCCACCTCTCTCATATTTACATTCCCGTGTATTAATCTATATGTTTGCGTTTGCTTTTCCTCATCTACAATTACTCCTAAATCCCTTTCCCATTTCTCTATAAATGGGGGCTTTGTGACCGTGTTTAATCCTATAAGAATTTTATATACTTTATAAACCCCGTGTTTCCCACCTCCCCGTGTATCTAACAAGTGCTCAAAAGGGTTCCAGTTCTCCTTTGTTCTCAATGACCCTGGAAGCTTCCTCAAAAAGTGTTTTAAATTGAAAATAACGCCACTCATCCAATCTCTTTCACTCTTATTTTCCATTTCCCTATAAGAACATACTTCTTCTCCCGCCATTATATCTCTTGATTGTACATCTTTCTTCTTTATCCACCTGCCTGTGATACTTTCTAATTATTCTAAAATTTGCTTCTGGTAGTTTAATATGTATCATTTGAAATTTATATAAAATTTTTGGAACAATTACCATTTTTTTCAGGTTTATCCATCCTGTCCATGACAGAGATCCCCATCCTAATTTCCTTAATTCGTCCTTAATCTCGTTTAATAGTGGGATGTAGTTTGATCTATATAAATTCTTTGGAGAAGGTGTTAACTTTATACCTAGATATTATAATTCTCTTTCTCTCCAAACAAAAGGAAATTCCTCCTGTATCTTTTTTTTCTCTCTATTAGGAAGGTTTATATTTAAGATCTCTGTTTTAATAGAGTTATTTTTTAAGTTAGATATCTCACCATATTCTTTGAAGGCTTTCATTAAATTTGGCAGTGTTGTCCTTGGATGACCCACATAAAAATAACATATCGTCTGCATAAACTGCCACCTTATGCTCTGTTTCTCCTACCCAAATTCTCTTTATAACTATATTATTCCTTATAGTAGCCAAAAGCGATTCCACAGATAGGACATATAGCAAAGGAGACAAAGGACATCCTTGCCTTGTACAATTTTGCATCTCAAAATACTCTGATAATTCCCCATTAACCATGATTGCAGCTGAAGGTTGACTATATAATTTCCTCATCCATTCTCTCATCCTAGGTCCCATCCCCAGTACTTCCAAAGTGTCCAGCATATATCCCCATTTCACTCTGTCAAAAGCCTTTTCAGCATCAATCGAGAGTACCAGTGAAGGAGTTTTCTCTTTCCTACTTTTTTGTATGAGAAACAGAGATCTCAATCCGTTGTCTCTACCTTCTCTCCCTGGGACAAACCCCACCTGATCTATATGTATCCATTCCTGCATTAAGTCTTTCATCCTATTTGCTAGGACTTTTGCATATAGTTTAGTGTCTGTGTTTTTGATAAAGAGATCGGTCTATAACTTGAACAATGAGTTTCGTCCTTACCTTCCTTATGTATGAGGACCACATGAGCTTGTAGGGATTCCCTCCTCATTTCCATCTCTCCTCCTAAAGCATTCATATATGTCCTCAATTTGGGTAATAATAGTTCTTTATATTTTTTATAGTATCTCACTGTGTAACTATCGGGTCATGGACTTTTCCCTACTTTGGTACTTTTTAATGCTGACTGTGCCTTTTTTAAATATTCCCTTCTTTTTTCTATTATTCCCACTTCATTTTCCCCTATGATACCCTTAGGGTTAACATTATATAGTTTATTATAATATTCTTTAAACACTTTTGCTATATCCTTAGTTGAATACACTAATTCTCATTTGCAATCTCTTATTTTCTCTATATAATTCATAGGTTTTTTTTTCTCTGAGCCCTCATTAAATATTTTCCTGGTCTATCTCCCCATCTATATCTCTCTCCTATCATTTTATGTGTCTGTTCTAAGTCACTGAGTTCTTTAAGAAGTGTATTTATTTTTTTCTCTTCTTTCCCTCTTCTTCTTTGCGCCTATTGCTATTAGTATTCCTCTGATGCATGCCTTATGAGCTTCCCACATCGTTGCCACAGACACTTCCTCAGAATCATTTTCCACAAAAAATTGGTCTATTTCCTTCTTAACTTTCTGCTCCGTCTCTTGATCCTGAAGAAGTGACTTGTTTAACCTCCATGTTTTCCCTCCTCTCAGCTCATTTTCCCATAATAGTTGCATTGTGACAGGAGCTTGATCAGAGATCGACATAACTTCTATATTTACTTTAACCAATGACTCAATAAGTTGATGGTCCAACAATATGTAATCCAATCGTGAATACATCTCGTGTGCATGAGAGTAAAACGTATAATCTCTATCCTTCATATGCATAATTCTCCATATATCTACAAGTTGACATTGCTGCATAATTTTTTTCAAAGATCTCAAAAACCTACTACCATCTCTCTGCACATGAGAGGTCATATCCATCTGTGGATCCATACAGAAATTAAAGTCTCCTGCCACAATCAAATTTCCTTTTTTGAAATCCATTAATTTCTCCAAGATATTTTTTAGGAATACCTCCGGTTTCTTATTTGGGCAACAGATATTTGCTAATGTACATTCTATTTCTTGTAATTTCCCTTTCAAAAACAGGAATCTCCCTTCCGGATCTACCAATTTCTCTTCCAGCTTAAACGTTATATTTTTCGCAAAACCTATTGCCACACCCTTTGCACGTTTAATTGGGGAATCTGCATAAAAACCATTTAGGAAAGTATCTGGACTGCAAGTTCACATTTGTATCTTGTACTAGGTGTGTCTCTTGCAAAAAAAACACAGAGGAGAGTCTATGCTGGATTTCTTTGAGAATTCTAAATTCCTTCCCAGGGCTATTTAATCCTCTAACATTATAGGTCACAAAGTGAATCTCTTTCTTTCTTCCACCTTTCTCTCCTCCACTCTACTTCATATCTTCTGGGATTGTCAGAAGCTCAGCCCTTTTTAGCAAAAAGTCCTGCAGATAGTTCATAAATTTACAGATATCTCCTTCATGGACAACCCAGCGGCAGTGCTCCT